GTGCTTAGCCCAATCCTCATAGTTTTCTCCTTTCAGCTGAACCGTCGTGATCACGTTTCCTGGTCCATCTGATGGATGAAGGTAATACGGTGACAGTTTGGCTTTCTCCATTGCCATCATCGTTCCTGCGCTGCTTTCCGCGAGCTCTCCATCTTCTTTTCTTGTTCCCATCTTTCTCTCTGTAAACTTTTCTCTCTTTATTTTCTTTCAATTAACTATGAACCCTTTTGGCTCTGATACCATGTCAAAGAGAGAACGTAATCTTGTGCCCTCTTATTCATCAAGCCAAAAGGTTTATATACAACCAAGAGTAAACCCTCGTATCATCTCCATATAAGGAATATTAACATATTGAGATATACGATTAGGCTATTATACTATATTTACATATGAGTCCTCAATACATCTCTTGAAACTCCGAGCCTTTGTCAAACTCCTAACGATCCTTGGCTTGTTGTTAACTCCATGAGGAGGAATGTCTATAACCTTCCTTTTAGCTTTGGTTCGCTTCTTCATCATCATCATCTCTGGTCCAAGGCTCTTCAGATGTTCTTGACCAAACCGAGTTTCAGGTTGGAGATTATAAGACTCGGTTGCTTGACAAGTCTTCCTCTGAACCATCTTCTCAAGTCTTGCTTTGCCTGAAGACAAAGCTATTGTTTGTTTACAGCACTAAGAAGAAGAAAAAAATGTAAGATTCTTTTTTGTTTTTCAGTGGTAGTAGGCTAAAGATACATATGCGGTTTTGTCTTAGTGCCTTTATAACTTTACGTGAATTTTGTTCAGACTTGAAATATTTTGAATACTTTGTGATTTGGACATCATATTTTGAATAATGTAAGATTCTGTGAATGTTTTCGTAAATTACCTATTTTCGCTATATAAACCCTACTTATTTTTCATTTTCAATCATCATTTTACATAAAAAAAATTATAAAATATGATTGGAAATAATGATATCATTCCTTTACGATTAGTGTGAATGTTTTCGTAAATTATGTACTTTAAATTTTATAATGTATAAATATATGAATTATGTTATTATACTTTAATTATGTGTATAATTTTACTTTTATTTTTAATAGTCTTATTTATCTCATATATTAGATATAAGTATATTTTTAATATATTTTATGTTTGTATCACACAGTTTAATAATCAACAATAGTTTCCTTTTCTAAAAATAAATTATTATTTTTGCATTTTATACTAATTTAGAATTTGACGATTTTTTAACGTCAATACTTAAAAGTATGTAGGTGTTATTTGTCTTTTTTTTTAAACTTTTATGCACTTTATTTATTATAGTAGAATCAAATGTTTGTATTGCAAAATATATTAATATAGATTTTAAATACTGATCTTGGAACTTAGTTTTAAAATATATATTTCATTTTTGTAAAATACGCATTTTTGTTATATTTTTGTCAAAATATATTTGAATTAATATTATTTTTGTTTCAATTAGACAGATCAATTTGGAATATATCAATCAATTTAATCTGAGGACAGAATTTTATGAAGTCATAAATATTTTAAAGCTAATTTTAATCATATATTTTTGAAAATTTTGCAAGTCATGATTTATATAATGGGTAATGCAAATCAATGTTTTTTACAAAGTAATTGTAAAATCAATGTTCTGTTCGAATTTACTTAAAACCGGTTCTGAATTTAATATTATAAATTACATGATATAACTTAGACGAAATGTATGATGCAAACATATCGTTCTTAATAAGAAGTATCACAGTAATGAAAATTATTGACAAAACATAAATAAATACAACATTAATTTAAAATATTAAGAATGGTAAGTATAGGTAAAACAAAAAAAATTAATACAAAGCGTAATAACAAAGAACAAAGGAACAATCCCTTTTTTTCTTTTCATGTGGAAGACCTCATGTTAAAGAAACTGACTTTAGCTGACCAATTTAAAGTGGAAAAGTATGTGAAAAATGTTCTAATCGTGAAAATGAACAGGAGTTAAGACTATATATATATATATATATATATATATATATATATATATATATATATATATATATATATATATATATATATATATATATATATATATATATATATATATATATATATATATATATATATATATATTCCTTTATAGACAGCTTGAACTAGGAGAAATATTTATTTTCTGTCTAACCCATGGACATTATGTTTGATTAACTTGATTAGAATAAATTATCAAGTTTTTTTAAATCATCAAAATTCTTTAGATTTTCTTAAGGAAATAAATAAGAATAGATTTTAGAGCATATTATTATTTATGATATTTTATTTTGAATTTGTTTTACTGCATAGAAATGAAAGTATTTAACGTGATTTCATGATTTTCTTAACGTATATACGCTTAGATTTCAAGTCCTCTTAATTTTTCCACTTCTTAAACTCATAGAAAAAATAATACATTTTTATAACCAAAAAATTGATAACGAGTACTTAAATTTTAAGATTTCATATTTGTTGTTTTTAACGTCAAACATAAAGTTTGAATTACACATTAACTTAGCTATATTTCTATAAAACTCAAACAAACAAGGCAGACGAATAATTTAATTTAAAATAGGATTTAGTAAAAATATTCATTTAACATGCTAGCCAGCTTCTATGTATATTATGATATTGAATTTTAATAATTTCAAAATTATAGTCACTAAAAGCAAAATATAAATTTATCTAATAATTTAAATAGCGTAGTTAATTTAAATGTAAAAGTATATATTCAAATACAAAATAAAAAATAATCTAAATTAAAATTAAAATATTTGTAAAAAACCCGAGCGTAGTCCGGGAAAGTCTTTAGTTATATTAATTTGGTTTTGGGATGACAACAAGACTGGACTCACTTTCTAACAAAGGAGGCATTAATATGCTGTAAATTTCCTAAATCAATTTGTTAGCTTGCGTAACTTTCTAAATTATCTGAAATGTTTATTATATTATTTTGTTTTTAAGACTTTAATTTTTTTCCACTTGTTCCTTGTCAATTTTAGAGGAGGAACATATTTTATTCGTTGGCTCGGTCATATAGAAGGAAAAAGAGAGAAAAGTGGTTGGAACAATAAATTTATTATCATTTTTTGCTAAAAAGTAGTAATTTTTTGGGATAAAATTAATTACTATACTAATTGTTTGATACAATAGCTCTTGCTTCAATTTCACCAGAGTTTCTGTAGCAACGTGCTCAAGCTTTGACCTAGACAAGAAGTGAAATGCAATGAAACAGAAGTAATTTTGCTTTGTATATGTTATTTTTCCTAAGTTATGTTGTATCAAATGCACACTTGTAAGTCGATCGTTCGAAATCAAGCAGAGACTTCTTGGAACGAACAGCCAAATTATGTCCCTCAGTTCTGCAACACTACCAAGAGCTTGGCGCTGTGCTTCAGCGCTTTCCAACTCTTGTATTGGAGGGAGGGTCACTTGTTGTTGCTTTACCCCATCGCCTTTAGCTCGACGAATCAAACTATATTCAACAACACATATAAAGGTTAGTGTCTTAATGATTTGTACTTGTCTTAACATTTAACAAAATCTTATAAGATTACAAGAGAGGCAGTATTTTTACTTCACCTCATCAAGAAATATAATTCCACCACCAGAGAGCTTATTTGCTTGTGAAAACACAGCCCCAAGAAGCCGCTCGAGCTCGTTCTTTTTTTAGCAATGTCTGGCAGAAAAAGAGAGAGAAACCTTTTGACCCCTGACACGTGGGCAAGAACCATATTTGAGTTCTTGGACTCGAGCTCGTTCTTTCTTTAGCAATGTATGGCATAGTGTTGTGGAGGATCTATAAGGGGCAAGTTTTAAATTCATAATCAGAAAGTCGTAATTGTGCTATATAGGAATAGGACTAACTAATCTTATCACTAACCCTTGTGCAATGCCCCAGTACTTTAAAAAGTCTCTTCCATATCTATGAGCCTCGCGTGCTGTTTTCTTTCACCGATCATAGAGACCCCTTTCGTATCAGGTAATTGTTTACCCATCTGA